TTCATCATGTGTCCAAACAATGGTGTAAAATCAGTCCCAAGATGGGTGGGAGCTGGAGGACTCACAGTGAAAGAAATGGCTGTAGGAACTGGGCTTGCTCAGCCTGAAGAAGAGAAAGTCCAAGGATATGTTGTAGCACCGTAAGAAGAGTTCATGAAGACAGTAGAGCCAGTTTGTTACAGACATCTACAGGAGGTGAAAGAGAGACCATGGACATAAGTTGAAATGGGGGAAGTTTCAACTGTATATAAGAAAAAAAATTGCTATCGGGATACTCAGGCATTGGAGCAGGATGACCAGAGAGGTTATGAAATCTCTGTCCTTGGAGGCTTTCAGGAGCTGACCTTATCCATATTATGTTCTGGCCCTGTTTGGAGCAGAAGTGTGGAAAGAGATGATATCCCAAGGTCCTTCCTGCTATAGCATGTTATGACTAGCCTCGTGTATTCTGCCTAGAGAGACATTTACATTTGGGAATTCTGTTAGATAATAGCTTCAATGCATACTGTAATGCAGTGCTACAGGGAAGTGCAGCGCTTGGATGCAATACCTGGAAGTATTCAAGGAGAAATAGATGCTAGTAGAATGCTGTGCCCAAACATAAAACAGTAGAAACTCTGGAGAGCATTCAAAAGAGCACTGGCACATCTTCCTGAAGCACTTCAGAGAGATGTTTGCATCACCTAAAACTAGAGCATCCCCTTACGCTTACAAAGAAAAAAAGGTATCATACTCAGGGACAGTGGTACTTACAAGGTCTCAGGCAAACATAGAGCAAGATTCAATATGGAAGGCTCTCATTTAAGGCAGTGTAAAATTCAAAATAAAACACTGAGGGCAAGGCAGAAAATGTCACTTTGGAGTGAAGCTGAATTCTCCATTGCTAGTCAAAAGCACTAGATGTGCTTCACTGCAGAGCAGTTGCCAGCCTGGGTACCTGGTGGATTATCACCATGGCCGGGATTTCAAAGCACTCTCATGTTGTATAGATGAAAACTTGTTCCGCAGCCCTCCAGCTTTCCTTTTCTGACTGATTGAAGATGTTCTGCAGTATTTATGAATGGCATAAACCTTTTTTACAACTCCATATTGGCACAAACAAACCCTGTTGCCACAGCTGAGCACGTAAAAACGTAGTAAGATGTTACGTGAACATAAAATTGGCACAGGTTCTGGACACACAGAACTTGACCAACATTGCTGACTGAAGGCCGAGTGTGCAGCCAGCAGATAAGCCCTCTGACAGATAACTTTTCTGGTGCCTTAGGCTGCACTTTGCTGCTTAACTGAGAGCCATTCTGGTGAAATAGCCAGATTCACATGTACTGCACAAGTGCAATTGTGATAGAGCTCAAGGGCTCAGATACATTCCAATCCCTTGCTTTTAAATATAAATCACTGATTTTTTTTCAGATTGTGTGGAAATCCCAGCCCTAATGTCATCTGAGGAGGGTTTTTTTAAGCACTACAGTAAGTGATGCAATCAGTGACTCACTGCTGGTTTGGGTTTCACCAGAGCACTATGCAGCCCAGAGCAGCAACCTCCCAGACTGCAACTGCTTTGCTTTTTTAACAGCTAATATGAACAAGTTGAATTATAATCGCATCCCACTGTTAATTTATTAATTTCTTGTACTCTAATTTTGTAGTTAAAACAAACTTTGCATACCTTGGTGAAATCGATTTTGTTTGTTTTCCTGAGGAGACAGTTTGTTTCTCTTCAACATTTTACCCACAAACAGATACATTTATGAGAAGTCTCAAAATTGGTTTAAACAGGTGATATAATAATTCCCTGATCATTGAAATGAATCAAACATACATATGTACCAGAGTGCTGAAAAAGTGAGGGGATTGAGCTATATACCAAACTGCATGGTGACAATAAATATCAAAGAGTTAATTTGCTAGATAAATAAATTCATGCCTTTTATGGAAAACAAACAGTTAAAAGAGAGAAAGAAAAACAGTTACTGCAATATACTATGATTTAGTGCTCCACTGTGTATGAATACGCATAACGTATGGATGTGCACTCAGAGAAAGAAAAAAGCCATTGCACACTGAAGGAGAAAGCTGTGGGTTACTGTCCTTAGGAGTACTTTTGGGTATGCATTACCCATGGCTGCACACTCACAGAACATGGGTTGCTGGATTCATGCCCTCTGCAGTGCACAAGCACGTCCCAGCCCCTGCTGCCTGCCTTGCCTATCTGGCAGCAGGAGATGCCAGAGACAGCCAGGCACCACACAGGGCAACACCTTGGGTGCAAGGGCAGAGCCAAGGGCAGGGGGCTGGGAGGTGCCTGTTGGCTGGGATAGCAGTGACAACACCAAAAACACGATGGTGATACACTTGACTGGAAGTGCTAATATTGTTTGTATCACACATAAAGTTTTCCCTCTACTATTAACAACTTTAAAAATTACTTACAAGCATTCTTTATACTGCTCTGACAACTTCTCCTTTGATATCTGGGAACGGGCCTGCTGCCTTTTTGAGTTTTCTTCTACAAAGTTCTTGTGGCAATATCAATTGCCTTCACCTTGCAGCTCATTGCAGATCCGTTAGCAGACCAGCAAGTGTTTTCCAGATTCCTGTTACACATCTGCCACTGACCATCTGCTATTACCACCTTAACAGAGATGCAAGAAATCACTTGTTGAAAGGGGATTAAGTGGTTACAGCCCAGCACAAGGCTGCTAGCTCATTATGCTACTTCACCTTCCAACATTAAGCGATAGCAATAAACAGCAGGGCTGGAGTCTTAGTAAAAATGCACAGATTCACATCAGCTATCTCAGAATAATTATCCTGGTTCACATGACATTCAGCTTAAGAGCATTGTGTTTGGTCAGTTTAGATTGTAACCTTTCGTTACAGCAGTTTTGTGCGTGGGTTTTTTTTGGTTTTGTTTTTTGTTTTGTTTTTAAACAGCAACTCAGGATTATCAAGGAAGATTCACTTTTATTCCTGGTTCTCTGTAGTCAGCAGAGACTGGATGCTTTAATTGTTACATGTGGCTGGGTTTTTTTTTGGCAGCATGATGTGAGAAGTGGGTCTGCGTTTCCCTTTGGAACATTGAGGTGTAAAGCTCATGTGGGCTCTGGATTCACTGGCCATTTGCAGAGAAAGATCTACCCGCTTACACTGTCTTGGATAAGTTTTGTTGGTCTAGTTTTATATACCAGGCTGTCAGTTCTCTGCTGTGATCTGTTACCACTAAACAAGAAGAGATCTTTTCAGCCACCCTACTAGGGTTGCGGATTTCAAAACAATCTCCCATAGAAGATTGACAGAATAATAAAGAGCAAGATAATCTGTTACTGCACATTTGCAGACAAGAAAAAGCTAAGCAGAGCTGCCTCTGATCACAGACTCACGTAGCAGGAGCACAATGCTGCTACAAGAAAGGGCCCTGCAATGATTCAGGACATACCACTCTCTGGGGATGATATCCTGACTCCACTTAGGTTTGGAAAAAAATGTTCCGAAAGTCTCTCGAGCTGCCACATACTCTATTTTAGTTCTGGGGCTCATCCTCTAATGTCATATATATTCTGAGTAGTAAGGGAACCACCTGATGTCCAGCTTCATTTCAGGGAAAGGGAGGGCATAGGTATGATGGGCACTAGAAGGCAAGTTTGGATGTACTCACATTACCGGTAAATAGTTCAGAGGAGAGACACCTTGAAAGGTCAGTGTCATGAACATAGCATGCTAATGATGCTAATGAGATAAACAGCACCCGAGATAGCTAGATCTTAATGTGGTGGAGCTCTAGGGACATGTTGCACTGGAAGCACCTGAGATGGACTCGTTTCAGCCAGGTGATTTGTCCGGCTTGTGCCCCGCCGGATGGAGTCTCTGAGCACTGCAGAACTGATTTCCTTGGCATTTATACACATTCTTAATGCTGAAATTAGTGCCTGAATCTGTTGTAAGATAGCTTTCTGCTGGTGTTTGTTGTCCTCCTTCCAGGCTATTCTGATTTATGACACAAGAAAACCTCTTTATTTTTTCCAAAGTATTCCATAACTCCTTGTACCCCAAACACACCCAACAACCATTTATTTCTGTAACCCATCCTAACCACCAAAACTGAACAAGTCCCTTTTGTGCACCTGTTCTCTTGCATTCAAATGAAGAACATGGTCTGAGAAAACAGCATTAGTTTTACTTTTTTGGTATATGACATAATCTATTATTTTGCTTACGATCACTGTCAGTGTCCCAGAAAAATGCAAAGTTTGCTGTTGCAACATGTTACACTGACTGTAACTTCTCACATCATAGGCCCTTTTAGCACCAGAGACATCATTTTGGTTTAGTAATCCTTTCAGAAATTTCCTCTCAACAAATATAGAAGACTGTCATCACGATGAGAAAAGTCCTTTCCCCTAAAACTGTTTATCATCCCAGAATAAATAGCAATGAAAAGAATGGCTTTCCAAGACTTAGGGGGTCACAATCCTCTTATCAGGAAGGTATGACTCCAAGTACTGTACATAAGCCACTTACCCTTCCCAGCACCCTGCAGTCATCTGAATGTCAGTTAAAAAAAAAAAAAAAAAAAAAAAGATGAATCTATAGCGCTACATCAACAGACAGCTGTCCCAGTGGGCACTGGGAACACAGGATGACTCGCATTGCTGAGCCATGCGGTCATGGCCAAAGGCACGATGAGCTCACATTTCATTCCGATGCACATACGCGGTGTGGTCAGACTGAGGGACTCGGCCGCCCTCACCCTCCTGACGCCCCCCGCCTGGTCTCGACACTAGATCTGGCTAGTTAACATGTCTGGAATGAGCGCAAGCCTACCTCCCAGCTGGCAAGTCTTCAGGCGTACTCGGATTCCAAGGTTGGAAGATTATCTCATTCAAGCATAGCTTTCCCAACGATATATAAGCAAAGCTAGCGTGGTGGTCCCAGCAGAGCCAGCTTGAGCATTGGGAGATTCATCCACAGGGGAGTACAGCCTTCAAACACTGGCAAACATGATGATGATGAAAGTAGAAGAGCTGGTAGGTACAACCTTCTTTCATTTATTTGTAATTACTTTCCTTTCTAGACTGTCATTGTACCAGCCTTTGTGGATCACTGAGGTGACAGAGCAGGTTACCAGCATGAAGTGCTCAAAACCTGCATCTGTTATAATTCGTTATCCTACTGTATTTCCATAACTTTTGCTAAGGAAGGGGGCTTGCCACTGGTATAACTACACAGTCATTTGAATTTTGCATCAGAACATAACTCACCAGGAAGTACAGAATGACCGAAATTTAGCTGTGTATTTTCCCTTGATCTTGATTGACATACATATATGTGTAGAGCTACTAACTTCACAATCCTAATTCAGTAAGTGACTAGGGAAAAGACAGCAATGCAGGGAAATCAAATTATTCTCCTTCCACTTTTAAACCAACAACAGGCATTACTAACAATTCCTATTTTCACTGCTGTTCATGGTACAACAAGTTTTGAAAGCCTCTATCTAAACCAGGTCTCAAGCAATAGAACTTTCCACTGCAGAGTTCAGACTAACAATGACCAACAGACTGGGGAAAGAGGAGTAATCCAGTAAAGCACTGGAACATTATACAAGAATTTTTTTTTTCTCCAGATGGCACAGTTAAGATGAAATTCACATACATTGACTAGTCAGTACCATCCTAAACTTTTGGCAAGGCCTTAACAATTTCTCTAGTATTAAACTCTATAACAAACACAACTTTACAAGGATGATTGAACAGAAATATAGTCTAGAAAGTATGCATTTACTGAACCACACTCAGAGTTCATCCTAAGTTCATCATCCACTAAGTTTAACAAGTTATCTCTTTGAACATACTTAATAAAGCATCCAAAATATTTCCAAAAGCTATGAAGAGCTGTGCTGCAGCACAGCATCATGCAGCTTCAGCACAGCAGCTACCTCACATTCATTTGCCAAGTGCTATAAATGGGGACTTCAGTACTGACAGCAATGGGTAAGATCAGCTTTGAAATTACTCAGCAACCTGATTTAACTGCACTGTTTCAGTCAGACTGTAAGGTCCCAAGGGGAAAGCATATCCTCTGGCATCTCATTTCCCTTGCTCATAGGGTGCTGGTGCCTGCTCAAGGGTGGCTCCTTCCAGCAGAGCCTTTTACAGCTTTCTGATAGGTCTGAGACATGCTGGCAAGAGGAAACACAAGAAAATTCTGAACAAAAAGGATGTTGTTCACAACTCAACAGCTTTTGTCAGCACAGCAGCAGCTCAGTGCCAGTTGAGCAGTGAGTTACAGCAAGGTGGCCTTATGGACCCGACCCAAACCTCAAGGATGCCAGCAGGAGGTTGCTCTAGAGATGTGGAAGACCTGCCTGCAAGCAAGCCTGCCCCAGCTACCCACACATACACTACCCATCCAGGCACAGGCTGAATGAGGACTGCAGTCAATCTGACATGCACTGACCCATGTTCCCAGGGGGTGCCTGCTGCAATCATCAAACTGATGCTCATAACACATTTTCTTTACAGGTGACCGGGAAGAAAACTGATGATAAAGATACCAGCAGCTTCCTCCCTGAGGACTTCAAAACTGGAGAGTATGAAGCTGCCGTAAAATTAGAGAAGCAAGATGACCTAAAGACAGCCTCTGATCACCTACCAACCCAAGTAGATATGGCTCCCGGGAAGCAGAAGAAGCATGAGGCAGAGGTAGGCTCTTGGATTTTGTACTTGGGCTTTTATCATCTTTCATACACTTTCTTCATGCTCCATGAAGTTTTGCCTCTTTCTAAGTTAGAAATACATGCATGGTAGGCCAGATAAACAAACCCCCAGGAAGTCACTGCCGAAGGAAGTCGGTCTAATGTCCTCCGAATGCAGAGATGTGCTGAATCCTGCAGGTGACTGATGCAGGCAGTAACTCTGAAGCAGACCCCATGAAACCCCATGAATGAAAGAATTCATTTGGGAAAAAAAAAAACATACCATGTGGCAGGACCTCACCAATTTATTTACCAATACATTATTTAAATATATATATTCAAAGGATAGAATTTGTCATGAGATAGTGCTTTATTTTGAATCACTTTTTCAAAGCCAAGGACACTGCATGGTACCTGAAATCTTATACTTCAGCAAAGACAACACACTTGTCACTGATGCTAGCAGTGCCCCATATTCACTTCATGCAGGGATGCTTTAACAAAGAAGGCTTGAACAAGACTTAAACACTTATTGAATTGTCCCTTCAAGGACACCGGTGACATTCTTTCTAGTTTACCAAAATGCAGCACTTACTGATTGAAATGCTAAAATTGTTATACATCACATACTTCATTTAAGGGTATGCGTGTTTTTTTAATATCAAAACGGATTAAGATAAATCAGTGGCTACCACATGAAAGTGGTTGAAGGCAAAATGATTTGTGGAAGTCAGTTAAACTTGCCTCCCAAAAGGGACTGCAGGGCTGCTTTGACTCCTAGCCTTGCACAGGCCAGAAAAATCTCATGATATCCCACAACATATGGCTGAAGAAACCGTTTAGGAAGAAGTAAAACGATGCACAAAAAAAACTGTAAGAGATACAGAATTTCTCATACACTTAGCAACTTAATCTAATGGTCCATTAGCCATAGCTCCAGTACAAATCAGAACAACAACTTATTTCAAAGTTAACTCTGTCTGAACTGGATTCAACTGAATGATAGTACCCACTGTCCTGCCACTCTGGAGGGAAGGTGTATTCAGTCCCAGCTCAAACTGTTGCCTCTCCTCAATTGTTTCAGTTGAAGATGAAAAAACTACAGGAGAGATCAAAACTCGAAAGCTTGGAGGACCTTGAAAAAATTATTCAGCTGAAGAAGAAGAAGAAATGCAGGAAAGTGAAAGCTCCCCTTTTAAAGGAACCCGAACCAGAAGTTATTGTAAGTTCTGCTGTGAGCTCCTTCGGGAAAGGACCAACGAGCTTTTGTGCCACTTGTATTCACCTCCTGTATATTTTTCTCCATTAGACAGGGCCAGTGGATATAGCCATGTTCTTCAGAGCTGCACTGGAGAATAAGTTGCCAGTAATTGAAAAATACTTGTCAGACAAAGGGGATCCCAATGTCTGTGATGAGGTATGTCCTTCCTTCTTACTTCGCAGCCTGCTGCACAAGAAAGTTTATTACAGAACAAAATTAACTTTCACTGTAGGTTTTATAGTATGCACAGTTTTGAGGAGAAAAGCATTGGGAGTGTGTTGAGGTAAATAAACCCTGGAATTTTAATGTATTATGTATTCCATTGATAAAGGGGCTGCTGGGATCCTCCTCAGTAACATTACTTTAAAAGAATCCTTAAATTTCAAAGAGATACTGGTGACCAGGAGACCCTGATTTTCTGTGACAGATGCTCTTCTAATGCTACAGATGAACAGACAAAAAATTTGTCTGCAGAAATGCGTGCACACAAAAAAGTGATGCTGCTGGCCCTTGTAACTCCATAATGCATAAGCTGCATTTGCAAAATATAGCATAGTGTGTTGGATGGAGGAATCAACAGGCATCATTTTAAATTTGAATGCCACACTGAAGATATTCCTCACACCCTTTTAAATGCTGGGTAGGCAGATCACTGCTATTAGCATGCTATTAAAATTTAGCAGATTTCAGGTCTGGAAAACATTAGCTCTTGAAAATGAATCAGCATAACACATAGATTTGCCATCATCCCAGAGAGACAGAGATGAAAGATTTAAAGAGATCCCTTTATGCCATATTTGATATCTGACTTGGTACTGTTTTAATTGACAGTACAAGCGTACTGCATTGCACAGGGCATGCTCTGAAGGACATCTAGAGGTGGTCAAGAAGTTGGTGGAAGCTGGAGCCCTCCTTGAACTGAAAGATATGGTATGTCCATTAACATGTACTTTAAAATTTGCTCAATGTCTTGTAACTGGTAAAACAAACGCACAAGAAAAGCGCTAGAAAGACTTTACACTGTCTTTCAAGTTTATCCTTAGAATAACACTGCTGAGGTTTCAGGAGGGGATGTCTGTCTTACTGGGCCAAAACGGTTGAAGGAAAACGCAGGAATTGGAGGAGCATGTTCACCAATAGACCGCCACAAACCATAAAGCCCTAAGAAGGGTAGAACAGCTGAGGTCAGGCTACCACATCGGGCTATGAGCAGGTACTGGAAGTAGCAGGGTCCCACATGTCTACTGAGGGCTCAGTGCAAAGTATACATTCTCCGGCAGGAAATCTTTGAGCTCAGGAGGGGCATCTGTTCTGCTGAACACTAACCGTGAGGGTTCTGCAGCTGTTTTTTCACTCCTTCACTTACAGCTCTTAGTTTGTTTGCTAAATAGATGGCATCAACCAGTCTTGCTCCCCTCACTCAACCAGCCATGCCCACAGTGCTGTAAGAAATCAGAGGAATGGCGAGCAGAGCAAGACTTGTAGGGAAGGGGCAGCCCTCCCTGCAGAGCTTCGCTGGGGGGAAATTGGTGTTGGAGAGGTGGAGGGCTAGATGACAGAGGCTAGGTTAATTGAAGTGGCTCAACAATCTCAGAGAAGTGCTTTAAGTTAAGTTGCATGAAAAATGATTTTGAATTCATTTAGAAGTTTGATCAAATTAGCTAAATTTCTTCTTTTTGTGCATTATGCTGAATTAAATTATTTGTGCTTTTTTTCTGCCATAGCTTGAATCTACTGCCCTGCACTGGGCATGCCGGGGAGGGAGCCTGGATATTGTGAAATTCTTACTGGACAAAGGAATAAACAGAAATGCAAGAGACAAGGTATGTTCCTCTGGGACTCAGCCACTTTTCAGAGACTGCAAGTCCCCCAAGGAGATAATTTTTGTGGCTGTTCTGGTACCATCTTTCTGTGCTCAATGTCACTGATGGCATTCATAGAATTATTCGAGTTGGAAAGGACCCCTAAAGGCCATCTAGTCCAACTTCCTGCAACGAACAGAGACGCCTACAGCTCCATCATGCTGCTCAGAGCCCAATCCTGTTTGACCTTAGATGTTTCCAGGGACAGGACATCTACTTCTCCGGGCAACTTGTGCCAATGCCTTACCATGCTTACTGTAAAAATCTTTTTCCTTATATCCAGTCTAAATCTCCCGTTTCTCCCCGCTCAGCTGCGCAGCACCCCTCTGCACGTAGCTGTGAGAACAGGGCAGTACGACTGTGCTGAGCACCTCATTGCCTGCGAAGCAGACCTCAACGCCAGAGACAGAGTAAGTTCCACCAGATCCTTACCCTCAGCACTGGGCTGCTGCCTGTCCTCATGGCTCCACTTCCCTGTGAAAATCCGTGGTGACACGGCGTGGCCTGGTCCGTGGCACGGGCTGACCCATGTCTCCCCCCCTAGGAAGGTGACACGCCGATGCACGACGCTGTCAGGCTGAACCGCTACAAAATGGTCCGGCTTTTGATTCTCTACGGGGCAGATCTAACCATTAAGAATGGCGTAAGTAATTCAAAAGTTTTCCTTTGGAGCAGCTTCATGGGTTTTAAGGCTAGAAGAGAGACTATTGCGAACAGACTTAATTAAATCACTGTACAGTTAATTAAAGAACAGCTGACACAGGGAAAGGGCAACTTGGGGGAGGTCAGGGAACAGATAAAAAAAGCAATACCTACGCTAAAAGCACAATCTATCAGCTACAACTTAAACAACCACCACACCCTATTTTACTTACATATTATATTAAAAAGACTCATGCACACGGTTGCTGTCTGCACAGCTCCTGAGCTTCAGCCACCACTGAGATGCAACCGGAACCCCATGGCTTAAGAGATCTACTTTAGCCAGCACCAATCAATGCTTTTGATTAGCAATCAACTACACCTGGAGGAAGCAAGGGAGAAATCAGTCCTTGCCCCAACCTGCAAGGTCACTCCCTGTGTTACCCCTCACCTGGGTATGAAAATGAGGAAGAACACAGCCCAAAAGGCACAAAGTGTGCTCGCTCAGGCTTTGTTTGCACAATGAAGTTGCTCCTGTTTAATTTACATGTTGTCTATAATTTAATTAAACCCGCCCACACTCTTATCTGAATTTTCAAACAGAAGAGCTTACTGAGGTTTCACCTAAACATATCTGTAATCAGATTAGACTGGACCCGAAGAAACAGTGGCATGCTCTGCTAGTCATGCAGTTTGCTAACACAGCGTAGACCCACTCACATACATGGAAATTTCATCAGGAGGCTGAACAGTCAGGGAATAGATAGGAGAGCAAAATAACTCATCTCAGGAATGAGAGTACCTGATCCTGTGCACGTAGAACGGTCTCACATCAGATGCACTGTACAAATATTTAGGGAAGAATAAAGGAATAAATTCACCAGCTGAAATTAGATCTTGCTTTCTATCTTAATCAGGACGGAAAAACCCCTATGGACCTCGTTCTTCAGTGGCAGAATGGCACCAAAGAGCTGTTCAACAATCTGAAGAACAACTCCTATAAGAGCACCCATCTAAACAAGTTTTGAAGAGACAAAATCCAGACTGCTCTCTTTTTGCTGCTTTTAAATGCTTCGCATGATCCTGGGGGAAAATAGCCCTGAACATACTATATTTATTGAAGATATTTATTGTATTAAATTATTTGAAATGCCTTCACTGAAAACCATAAATCAGGCAGATGGAGCATTAAGTTTCCACAGGTTTTAAAGTAGCTGTATTTATTCCTATTCATTTTAAAGGTAATTTTTAATGATTCTCAGTTTTTTTTGTTTTTTTTTTTTTAATAGTTTTAAATTGCAATGCAATCTTTGTCAGCAACATGAGCCCTGTTGTCTTGATAGCACTATTACCAACCTTCCATCAAACCTTCCCACAGTTCTCAATAGCTAATATTTGCAATTGCTGCCATGTCTCTGCAAAATTCTCACTTTCAGAAAACTATGTTACATGAGTGGTGATATGTGGAAGAGAAAAAGAATAATGGAAGAAGGTCTGCTGAGATCCCAAGTGGATTTAAAGGAATAGTTAAGTAATGGGGTTTACACGTGCTATAGTGATGTGGCTGATAAAGAGCTCATGGACAGAACTCCATCATAGCCATATAGACTGCAGGATTCAGATGCAACGTGATGAAGGTGCGAGGAGACGGTATTGGGAATGTGGATTTCTTACAGCTGGACTACTACAAAGCCTGATGATCGAAGAATGTAAAAACAGATGATGTATATTTGTAAATTTGTACTGCTTTTTCTGTACATTTTGTACTGACTTATCTCAGATTAAATAAACAGAGTGGTTCTTTGTACTTGCTAGAGTGTATTATGGAACAGTAAGCATGCACCAGACAGTTCTATCTCTCAGTTCAGACTTTAGCCTCTAAAATTTATACTCAAAAAAAGTCTCAGTTGCCTAAAGCAGACAGCTCTTGAGCTACTTTCCTGCCCCTATTAGATAAATACTGTCTCTTTTTTTCCATTATGCAGAAACACACATACAGAAGCAGAAAGCCAGTACTTCAGTGGCTAGTAAGATACAAAACTACAGTTTTATCACTGAATTTGATTTAAAATCCCCTTTTCTCAGCAATCAGTACCTAATGCATGGAGCACACAAGACAGCTTCAATTGTCCCAGTCAAGGAAGATGTGGAATCCTGCTAGGAAAGAAACGTATCTTCCCCTTTGCTTTAGTAGAGGCAGAACAATGTTAATAGGCTTGTCAGCAGAGCCATTGATGTGCAATTTCACTAGGACATCACATGCCATGTTCAGTTAAAATCTGAACATCCCATGGAGCAGCCTCCCAGTGAAATACGCCACAGGCTCCCACGAAGATTCACCAGTCAGTAAAGCTGGCTTCGAGCCAGCAGACTTTACAGTGTGGCCAAAACAAAGTCCTGGGCAATGGAACGATGGACAGTGATGAGTATTTGTTAGTGGAATGCCAATCTTGGAAATGAATTTACAGAAACCCCATAAGGAGCAGGCAGAACAAATGCCTATTCAATCTGCAACCAACTACCCTGTGCTGAAGCAACAGATTTAGACAGATGAGACTTTTCACACAACAAGCACCGTAATTTGTGTCACCTGAGAACACATTTTTTTTCCATAAGAACCACGGTATGTCTCTGCTTGCAATCCTCCTCTGCAAGCTATTATTTCTGTACTTGTTTCTGCACAATCATCTGGACATTGGGAGCATATCTTCCAGGAAACAGGAATTACATCAGTGCTGGCTAACTCATCTTGACTACCTTAATAACTGAGCAGCAGTTCAGTGCTCCTGGAAACTGGGAGACAAATAAACTTTCCACACAGTTCCAAAAGCACTGTACCTACTTAAAGAGCAAAGATGCAGATGTTACATTTTCTGGATGAGGTCAAACAAGTGACAAAGAGGATATCTTGCATTCAAAAGCTTCCTTCTGCATGCTAGTTACAAAACAACTCTCCTCATGAGTCTCTGGCCAAGGCATCGTAGTACAAAACTCATAAAAGTTACACTGAACAGGCACATTTCCAGTGCTTCTTTATTTGGTTAGAACCTTACTTTGGAGGCAAGTCCATAAATAAAAAGTCACTACATATAATATCAATTATATCGGTATTATATCTCAATACCAATAATAAAACACTCATATCATGATGTCAGCCAGTAAAATAAAACTAAAGGACATCTATTTTATTGCTTGATGAATGATGCAAAAACTATTGTGACTTACACCAGTATTTTATAAAACCATGACCCTACTGAGAGCTTTGTCAGCTACTAAGAGCTCAGAGATAACTCACCGCAAGGTTTCTGCGGTACTTTACACGTCACAACTTGTGCTTCTCAGCTTGTTGTCAGATAGGAACGAGAATCGCAGAATCATTAAGGTTGGAAAAGATCGCTAAGATCTGGTCCAACCATCCCTCAACACCAAGCCCACTAACCACACCACACCTATGATTTTCTTGAACATGTCCAGGGACAGTGAATCCATCACCTCCTGGGCAGCCTATGCCAGTGCATCACCATTGCTTCTGAGAAGAAATTTTTCCTAATATCCAATCTGAACCTCTCCTGCTGCAAATTGAGGCCATTACCTCTCATTCTACCACTGTTACCTGGGAGAAGAGGCTGACCACCACCTCACTATAACCTCCTTTCAGGGACTTGTAGGGAACAATAAGGTCTTTCTGGAGCCTCGTCTTCTCCAGACTGAACAATCCCAGTTCCCTCAGCCCATATTACCTGTGTTCCAGATCCTTCACAGCTTTGTTGCCCTTCTCTGGACATGCTCCAAGGCTTCAGTATCTTTCTTGGAGTAGCATGAAATTGAAATATTGGAATATTCAGAGTAAAGGTGGCACAAAAGCATCTCAAGTACAGCATCTTAAGTAATTTTTATATTGGTCAAAAGAGAAATTTCAGTCAACAGTTGGAAGATGTCTGAAAATGCCTCAATGATTAGAAATCTGTTATGACTGCTTTTTTGGATTAGATTTACTGAAGCACTAACAGGAAGGAAAGCTGCAAAGTCAGGAGGCAGCAAAACAATCTGGACATAAAAGACATGATACAGTAAAAGTTGTGTGACATGGAGACTGCTCAGGCCTAGGTGAGACAGCTGTTATGCTGCAACTGCACACCATGCTGAGTACACATTCAGGATAACCTTGGGCTCTTCCTTCCAATCCGTGGCAAATGTCTCATGTTACTGTTTGGCTTTATGTTGGGATGGTTTGATTCCAAGGACAGAGATAACCTTTGTGCTGTGTGTCTAACAGGTTGATTTAGTCGCTGTTCCTGTGATACAAACTCGTGATTTCTCCTAGCAAACAACAGATTCTGGGATTGTTATAGTTATTGATCACAAAACAGAATAGAGAGCAGATAAAGTTTTTACTGCACAATTATTCTCTCAAGCCATTTAAGGTAAACTTTACTGACTCGTGGTTCTAAGGTTTTAAAATATGTCTCTGTACTAAACTTTAGGTACTATAGGAGTGAGTCTTTATAGTCATGCTTTCTTGAAAACATTTTTAATTTAAAAAAAAAAAAAAGGAGTGCAGTTGACACAATGTTTCTGCCTTAGGGGTACTTTCTATTGTGCAAGTTCACTGATTCCAGAAGACCTAGGACAAGGTGACAAGGGGGAGTGATTCCCTCCTGCCCTTGTCCAAAAGCCCAGCAATAAGATTCCCACAGAATTCCTCACTTGAAAACCAGAAAAATAATTCTTCTTCAGGCTAAAAAAATCAGTAAGTGAGGAACCAAGCCAGCTGGAGGGTGAAGGAAGACTCAGCCACTGGTTGAAGACTGTATGGAGGCTCCTGTTGACAACTGGCTCAAGCTTGAGTCTTAGCCTTTTTGCAGGCTGGCACTGTTTCTTCCTCCTCAATCTTGTGAAGCTTCTTCACTGTGTATACTACCCCACAGGCACTCTTCCGAGTTTCTGGAATATACAAACAAAACTGAATTACCTCAAATAAACCGACACTAATGCACTTAATGCATGCTCACTGCAATTCAGCATGTTTCACAGCCAGCCACGCAGCACACACAGCAGGTAAGCAACCTGCATGGGCAGAACATAGGACACACTCAGGAAACTATGGTTTCCATGTAGGACATATGAGGTTGGGTGCAGAAATAGAGCAAGAATGAGGGAAAACTGAGGTCTGCTGGGACTCGGGGGGAGAGAGGCTGGGGAGGACATGCTTGAAACCAAAGGAAAGCAGGCTTCATTAGTTCCATATTCACAGAAAGACATGTTCTTGAACACATGTCAAAAAAGCATTTCACTATTTCTGAGCAAAACAGTGTTCTCAAATAAAATAAACAAACATTCACATACTTCAGGGTTCTTAAAAAGGCTACACTGGCACAGCTATACTGGCAGAGGCTCACATATACATACCAAATAAGTGGCTTCATAGCATTCAACCATATTTTATTTACAGAACTCTTGGCATTACCATATCATGCTGCTACTCATACGTTTGCCAAACACCCAGTAAAACCAGTCCAATTTCAGAACCACTAGTATAAGGCTTCTCTGCAAACACTGCAGATTTGAGGTAGACAAGGCTACTAATAAATACTCTTGCTAGCAAAGTGACTTTGTAAGAAACTTGCCTAAATATACTGATCACCTGCTCTACTATTCTTTGGGGCACAGGAAAATTACATCTGTTTTTTTTTTTTGTTTTTTGTTTTTTGTTTTTTTTAAACTTCACAGGTAAGAATAATGAAGGTCTTGAGAAATTCCACATAAACTGGAGAGAAAATCTTCCAACACACTGTCACTATGTAGATGAGTAGTGTAGCAGGCTGGATGACCCTGTTCATAGAAATGCACTCTTGAAAAGATTAAAGCTACTCACTGTGAATTACAGCACATTAAAACTGCAATTCTACTGAAATAACAGATACCAACCAAATTCTACTATGAGTTTGCAACTTAGACAACAGAAGTTGTTAAGACGACTAGAACCTTCCTATCCAACAAATCTTAGAAGAAGCAAAAATTAACAGCTAGATACAAGTACTTGGTGACAAAATTAAATTGCTATTAGAATTCAGAGCAAAAATCTAGGAACACCAAGAGCCAGCAAATAAGCACGTGAAAGTGAGGTTAGAGAAGGTGAATGGAAGGGCCACAGAGCAAAGTGAGGGTCTATATTAATTGCTAGAACACGAACTGCTATCAGGACATAAAATAAAACCTTCTGATTTCTGTAGGGGGGCAAAAAGCTAAATTTCTACTTTCTTTACTATTAAAATGGACAAGTATAGAAGAAGAAAGCTACTGCAAACTTCCTCTGCTGAGTATAAGGAAGCAAGTTTTGTTTCACCAAAACTTAAAGTCGTGGTACATCATATGAAACATCTCCTCCTAAGCATCAGGCACATGGGACTTCAGATTTTGCATCAAGTTTGAAATGGTCCACACCAAAAAGTGAGCTAGTCAGAAGTAGACCACATAATGAAGTATCAGAGAAACAGCAATGACTGCTTCTGTGGTCATGCTGCAAGAGGGTAAATGCAAGAAAATCTGGATGAATGTGTTCTGAAGTCACTGATGTAGTTTCTGCTGCTGTCACAGATATGAGCATTCAACTCTTTCTGAAACAAATGGTATTTTCAAAATGCAGGAGAACAGGCAGATCTGTGTTATAGCTAAACAATTTACGTATCTTTTTAATGTGGTTAAGCAAGTACTCCAGTACAGACAGCACTACAATTCAGCCAGTGATTTGCTAGCACAGCAATCATCTCTTGCTACAGAAGTTCCTTTTCACACACTGAACAAGGGAGGAAAAACCCCAAGCTGACTTGCTCTCTGTGGTCTCAGACCTTTTGGAAAACATGCACCGACATGAACTTATCTTAACAAATGCAAGAATTGTTTAAGTTTGCACATGCTTTTCACTTACCTCCATGAAGCATGGTGGCTCTGCAATTGGTGGACACGGCTGCCTTGGCTTCGCCTTCTGACAGGCCAAACAGCAAACCTCTGTCACCTTTGTTCAGGATCAAAGTGCACAGGAAGGAAAAAAAGAACAAGGAAGACTGTATGACAGATTTGCTTACTCTACAAGTAATTGGGAATTAGCAGCGCTGTAACTCGGAGTGACATTTTGCATAAGGTTACCCAGAGGCAGAGACCTGAGGCACACAATTCTCCCGGCTGCAGTTCCCCAGGAGCCCTCCTGGAAGGCTCCTGTCAATGCTGCTTTTTTCCAGACAAGCAGCTTTCATTTGAAAACAAAGGTCTGTCAACACAGGAATCTTTTTATTTAGAACATAGAATCAAATAAAAAGCTACCCCCTTGAAAAATTCAGCTTTGTGGGAAAGGGCACTGTCTGATACAAAAGCATTGTGTTGCAAAATTCCCAGCCACCTTGAATAGGGATGACACCAAAATAGGTATGTCAATTTGAGTTAAGCCTCACTGCTCTTTTTAAGAGGGAAGGAGATGTTACACACAAAATCCAGCCCGTAAACCCTCCCACACGGTTCTCACGACTCAGAGCGCACACGTTCCCTTTGAGAGGCAGTCTGGACACACACCTGGGGGCGGGGAGGGGGAAAAACACATGTGAATTCCTGAAAGAAAGGGAGAAATGATGCTCTCTATCAAAAACACAGTCCTTTACTTGACTGTACATATGGAACTAAGGACTGAAAAATTAAGAACCAAAAGTAACTAGTATTAAGATAGGAACCTTTTTTTCCTAAATAAAAACATGATTTTATGGCTTCTTCTATCAAAGATTGAGTGCCTTTGAGATCAGAATTAATTTCTGGTTTGGTCCACAGTGCTCGCCAACTTCAAAGTTTTCTTATTCTAAGATCTACGATTATGGGTTTTTTACTCTTTTTCCCCACTTACACTCAAGACAAATACCAACACATATCACAATACAGAATTCACCTGTAACCATTCCCAAACATCACTATTTACAGCAACAGATCATGTCGCTCCATGACCAAGAATCTGTGTTGCTCCTTCCACACCCACGCTGCACTCTGATTCATTGAATTAGTCACCAACAAGCATCACTGGGTAAAGTTCAAGGAGAGCAATGGATGGAAAATCTCAAAACCAATTAAGTTTTGCATGTTACTATTAACTACCATTTCTGACTTGGAAAAAGGATACAGATTAGCCACATCGTAAGGACCTCGTAATTCCAGAGGCTGAAACAAAACAAAGAAGGTTGGAGGCTGGCAGAACGTGAGCACGTAGGATAGAGCTATTTACAGAAGCAGCCATTCAGGAAGGCAAAATTAAATGCTACATAATAGCAAGCTGCTGAAGATGCACTACAACAATCAGGAAAATACCAGTATTTTGCAAAACAGAGTCCCTCCCTGTGAAGAAGACCGTCACAGAAAATACCATAGCAACAAAAGCAAAGCAAAACAAACAGACTAAAAAAAAACAACCACACAATTCTTTAGTAAAACAATTGATTAAAAACATACAAGGTAGAAATCTTAAAACTTTAGTTATATATTAACATGTAAAAATTGTCATTTTAAGTATTTTGAGCTGAAAATAAATGCTCAAATTGTTTCCACTTGAACAAAAATTCAGGACTTACTCTTTCAGCTGCACTAGATATAACGATGTTCTGGAAAACACAAGAGAATAAAAGAACAAACATTCATCTGTCAGACAGCATCAAGACATGGAAAACTTGCAAGCAGCAACGACTTCATGAGCATTGGCTAAGTTCAGGGTGACAACACAATTAACTGTGAGTGTCCAGTGCACTCAGATGAACAGAACTCCAGCCACATATATAGACATTAGTTTGAGGAAACAAATAAACCCAAGCTATCTCCCCAGTATCTACAGAGAGAGCGCCACAGGGACAAGTTCTTTTTTGTAGCTATAATCCTCACCACAAAGAGGTCTGAGCTGAATGAGCACTGCACCTTTTAGAGGCCTACAGCCAAGAAGTATAAATCTTAGTGATGATATTAAACAAATGTATCTCTTATAGGGGACTTTAAAGGGACTTGAAGGGAAAAGAAGAAATGCAGAGTTGTGCACACTGTTAAGTTAAATACTACTGCCTTTGGTGACTGTAGCTGAAAGGGACAGGGAGCAGTCAGGCACAGGGTGAATGCTGAGCATTATACTAAGGAAGGCATGGATGAACTTGTAAGAGAATCCCAGGATCCATCCCCCAGATGCAGCTTACAAACCACGGCTCTAGGCAGTCCGACTCCCAAATTTTCAACCTACTATTTGCGTTGCAGTAAAACCCAACCCTATCATGTTAGCCTTAATCAAACTCATGCTGATGGAGCAAACCAGTCTGCAGTCAGGTAAAGGCAGCCAATTTACACCATACATCGAGTTTTCTCAAACCTGCATCCCCATGGAAAGCACCAGGCAGAAAGACACCCTCCTCCTTTCACTCCCAAATGCTTTCTACAGAACAGGTACATGACTGCTCAGGGGCTGGCAGATAGCACAGCTCAGCTGCCAGTGCTCTTTTAACGTTAAACCTCTAAGGATGCTCACTCAAGGGAAGATTGTTTAGTGCAGGTGGAAACTGCAGCAGAAAAAAGATTCCACGCACTTTTTAAAAAAAATATATATATCAAATAAAAGCTTTGGGGATTCCTGCTTGAGTGGGCGACAATGAAATTGGTACTGAGGCAGCAGAAGACTTTCCCTCTCTGACGTCAGTACCACCAACACACCACACCACCTCCAGTTACATGGTAGGGCTTATGATCCCTTTCCAAAGTACTGCTTCACTCGTCCTACTGTCCCCCCAGCAAAGAGCAGGACAGATGTTGGAAGAAAATGCTCTGTGCACAGCTAGAATTCAAACCATGAACGAGCTATTTGTATGGAAATGACTGCACTGTGCACACTGTGCCCAAGTTTCCTTATGTGTTGAGAAGGAAAAGAAGGGGCTGAGAACGCTGCACAAGCATAAGGAAAGCCAGAAGCAGAAGCAATTCGTACATCAAAGTGAGTTAACAGTAAAGAGCCTAAGACATTTCCTTCTGTGTAGTTCACCTTTAGAGTGACTGTACTACAGACCTCAAGGGTGCTTTTGAGCTTCATTGGTGCTGACTGTGAGAGTTCACTGTGAAAATATAAGTCTGCTGCTCTTAGCTGTAAAAACCAATTCCTGTCTTCTTGACTCAGAAAAGCTCCCAGAGCAGCTATGCCATCTTGAACCCATCCCTGCAGGACTGTGGTTCACTGCTGTGTACTGGAGACATGCCCTGGATGATTCAAAGCTAACCGACTTCCAGTTAGAAGTTAGGATTGGTAAGAAGGGAGGAGACAAGCAGACGAGAAAAATACAGCTAGCAAACAGAGGAGAAGCAGGCAAAGGCAAATCCAAGGAAAGGGCTAAGGGAAAAACTCAAAGGCAAACCATTATCTCCTCAGGTAAAAAAGAAAACAGCTGTTCAGCACACTGCTCTGGATGCAGTAAATAACGCTGCTACCAAAACATAGAATGTGAAGGACTGTGGCTATATACACCTTCTGTCTGACAGGGCAAGCGTGTCCCTCCCACATTCCCTGCACATTTTAAAATATTCTAGGGACTCTGCTGAACATCAGCTCCTTGGCCAGTAAGTTCCCAAAAGTTTCTCTGTGCTACTGTAATAGGAAAAACAAAAGGATCCAAAAGCTGCTACAAGCTCAGCAACTGTAAAACAGTGTACAAAAAGATGTACAAAAAGCTGTATAAAAGGTGACTGATGTGCAAAAGTGCCAATGAAAGCAGCCCATGGAACAACCTCACCACATCTTGGTAAAAAGAGCCTTTACATAACTGACAGAGAAACTGCCAGCAAGCACTAATAGCCTTCTCTGCTGACCCACGAGGTAATAAGCCCAGAAACAAAAAATATAGGCAAGAAACAGTGACAAACTAGTAATCCATTTCTAGCTCTTCCAATGGCTTACAACAAATCACGGTGTCCAGCGTCAGACAGTTTACCTCCCACACACAAATGGTGTATTAAATAGACACGTGCAGAAAGAAAAGGCTCTCGTACACAGACCAAATGTCTCACTCGCTCTGTGATGCTAACTCAACCTGTGCAATACAAATCAGCAACTGAGTGAGAAACATATCTTCAGCTGCACATAGGAAAGAGGAGAACTGGCAAGGAGGAGTTCTACATGTTTCTGCGTGCACACACCTTTTGTTTAAGTCAGTATTTTGTGTGATTAACCTCCAGAGCTAGGCTTCTCAGGAAAGAGCACGTTAAGTGCTCATTTTTTCTGTAGCTTAACTCATCTGTTTAGAGACTCCTGTCCTATAAGATAGGTCATCACTCCCAGGGGGAACTGCAATACTGACGATTCTGCTTTTAATTGGCCTCCCAAGCTCTATATCCTACTTCAGACTGCATCTGCAGGGTAATACCAGTCTTGGCTTCTCTAGACTAGCTAGGTACAGCAAAAGCCCTTCCTAGTAAGAATGATGGGACTTACAATCTCTTTTAACTCCAATATGTACTACTATACGCTTCCCTTTTAAAAGCACGCAGCCTGAGAGGGCCCACATAGCAGGCAGCTTAGACTGATGGCCTGAGAGGAGGTGAGGTATGAAAGCAATGGAGTACTGGCATCTCAGCTGCAAGGATTACTTCTTCCCTCGGTTTCAGTAGCAGGGAAGAATGCAGTTGATCTGATTTCAGCAAAACCTTGGCTTAGAGCCAGCAAGCTGTTGGATCTGTTCTCTACACTGGGGATTTCCTAGCAGTTAAACAAACAGGATTTCTACCTTTTTTTTTCCCCCATGTTCAAGGTATGTTTTCAAAAAAAGTGCTTTTGGTGAATCAAAACTTTGAAGCGGGGGATTTTAAAGAGATGCGTGGATTTCAGTTCTAGTGCAAACTATTTCCCTTTTGTTCTGGGTATTACATACCAAAATAACAGATAGGTTATTCTGAAAAGAAGAACCAAGCAGTTTGACAACTTAAGAGGACAGCATGCAGAAGTGCATGGCTGGAAGTATCTGGAGCCAGAATAATCGTGTTCTTGTATTAGTAGTCAAAGATTCAGTCAGGCTTCAGAAACCCTATCATCAACACTCATTTAAAATGGCTCAGTCTCTACAACTCCAGAAGAATTTGAACCGAATTAATTAACTTGCTTTCACTTTGAGAGCTTACCTTTCCTTTGCAGATCTGCATCAGGCTGATTGCATTTGAAATTGTGTATCTTCTCATTGTGGAGTCTTTGATGGCAGGCGTGTAAAGAAGTTCAAAGTAAATGCCTCGATCTATTGCCTTCACATGAAAGAAAGTGAACAAAAATCAAAAGGAGAGAAGCAAAACAATCTAACAACCACTGACTGTTATTGATGCAATTTATTCACAGTTTAACTGTGTTACGAAAAAAATGAAGGAGAAACTGTTCCAGCAGGAATACAGCATCATGTGAAATGCAGGGAGAAAAAATTTCACTGTACACCAGTTGTGTGTCTTGGGAGGATAGAAAGATGAGGTTTAATGAGCAAAGAAATAACACCTATTTAATAGTTGTAATTGGCTTTCCACTGTCTCAGAGAGGAGAAGCAAGTAACTACTGCTGATCATAAACAGCTGATCCCAGAAACTTCCAGGACTCTCCTCCTCCTGTTCCACTGCTGGCGATAAGCAATAACACTGCTTTCCACAGCAACCACATCTTGCAGATGAGAAATTCGTCCTTGCACAAATGTAGCAGTGAGGTCCTATCTCCTCTCTCTCTCACAGCACTGTGCTGCTATTTGTGATCATTTTAAAGAACAGCAGGTCACAGTAAAGTTTCCAAATAGCAGAACTTAGTGTATATTCAGTTGCTTTAACATTCTTTGCTGTCCGTGAAAGTACCTCACCAAAGCCCTTGTATTCTTGTTTTCTCAAACATACAGAGAAAGGCTGAACAACTTCCTGCAGGATACACAGGGTAAAGACAATGCCAAGCTAGGAGCTCCTCATTCCATGGCCTATAATACATTTGCACAAAATGCTACTTTGTGCTTCCACTCATATGATAAAACATTACAATGCTAATACAGTAAGAGAGTCCAGTAATTGAATACAGATGGAATTAACCCAGCCGTAACAGCTGCATGGAAGCTGAGTAGAAGGTATGTGCATTTTAAATGTTTTACACAGAGCTAGTCCAACATCTGCAAACAAGAAGAAAAGACTGCATTTATCAAAACCAAAACGGGTAATGGCAATACATCCATCAATTTCAAGATAAGGATACCTTTAACCTCATCCCTGCTCCTCCAGCTGCCAATCAGTCTGCCTGTCTGGCATCAAAACAACCAAATCTCACTGCCTGAGGATGCACAGAACCAATGTGAGAGACTGCCTTGAAGCTTGGAGAGTGGAAGATGAGAAACAGCTTGTGAGGAAAGTATCTCCTCACCTGGGTCAGCTCCTAGAGTTTCAGGCAGCGAGGGTACTTTCAGACAACATTTCATACATTTTTATTCCAAATGGAATACTATAATACAGACAGGGAATCGCTACTTTTGTTCTGTTTCAGGATTGATTCTGGTTTATTCTAGGTCAAAGTTTCTCTAAAAGACAGAAGCAGGATTTCTAACCAGTTCCAGCATTAAATCCTAAAGCACTAAGGACTACACCAGCCAAGAATGTCCAAGCAGAACAAACCTTAACATAAACTTAAAGGAAAACACTGGTTCAAGCAACCACATGTTCAGATTAAATTTTCTGCCAAATCACCTACAGTAGGCAGAATTATATTAATAAAATACTTGATATGGACAGTTAGCTTGAATCCCACAGCAGGTATTGAGCAGTCCCACATTTGGTTTACTTCCCAAGACATTCCTTTGACTAAGTAGGGATTCAATACACCACCCTCTGAATATCTAACACAACATCCTTCTCCACTGTCATTCACATTCTCCCATCTTTTAAATTACAAGACTGTTTATCTGACACAGCTGTATCCCTTCTGGTTTGGGAGGCAGCTTTGTCAGCAATCACACTACATCTCACCGGCTAGCACAGCAGTAGACATAAGGTTCTGTTTCCACTCCTTGGAAACACCCTTTCTGTCTTCAGAAGCAGAGAACAGAAAGGAAAAAGAACAAATACACATCACTGCATATTAAATACTGCAAGTGGAGGCCTTGAAGTGAAGGACATCTAAAACAATACATTATGCAAGAAAATAAAAAGAACCACTTGAATGGGAATGGTGAAAAGGAAACTGTAGGGAATTCAATTCAGACTGACATTTAATAGAAAAAAACCAATATAGTTGTCAATTTACCATATTTACAGGAGGCCTTCGGAAGTAAAACGGAAGCTTCTCTGTTACATTTATACAGACCAGATCCACATCAAGAGTTGTGCAAGCAATCTAGAGCAAAGAAACAGGAACAGATTATTAGATGCGCCATTTCGTAACACAAGAAATGTCTCTCCAGAGGCAGTTCAGTTTTGAAATGAAGTACAACACCTTGTAGGTGTGCCAACAAAACAGCAGTGCTCAAAGCACACAGCCAGAGCACATGGGGCTAAAAGTCACAACCCTCTTCTCACTTACAGAAGAGCTTTTCCAATAAAATAATGATCAACTCAAAGGCAAAACGTACTCTTTATTTTTATCTGACATGGGACATACAGAAGCAATGCTGTTTTTTGGTAAAAGAGCTCACAGCTAATAAAGGACCCATCATTCTCTAATCCCATCATTCTCCCAGTGTTGCAGCTGTTTAAGTACTTTTACCAGCAGCAACCAAGAAAATACTGAAACAGGAGAAGAATTTTAGAAGTGATGAGTTATGCCACTTGCCCAGTACTGGGTCCATGCCATGGTGCCTCACTTTCCTGTCTGGATAAGAAAGACAACTTTCTGAAAACCAAGCCTCTGGAGGAGTCTCAAGATGGCACCTGAGCTCATGGTTTAAATACTTGGCTTTGAGGTCACACCACAAATCATATCCTGTATTAATAGAGAAGGAATGAACAAAGGGTGGAAAATCTCCACACTGACACATACAGAAAATTAAATGGACATAAAAGCTAACTCTTGATTTACATATAATCTCATGCACACAAGAGTTGTAGGAATTATATATGTCAACCCTGTAAAGATGATTACACAGGACCAGATTAACGCCTGTAAGCAGCGTTGTAACAAAGAAGATAAAGCATGTTGAACATGCTCAAAAGGAATTTCCAATGTATAGAGGAACTCTCCATACTCAGAAACTTGACATCCACTGCTTCAAATACACCTGGGCCAGGTGCCAGTTCTTCCTCCCTCCTCGCACCAGCATGAAAGCAGTGGGGCTGCAGTCCCACGGCAGGGCTGCAAGACTGTGACACTCCACTCTAGCACAGAGCTCTGCAAACTTAACTTTCCATGGTCTGTTCATGAAATCTGCACAGACAGGAGAGCGGAGGTCCAGCTTTAGGAATGTTTCTTACCTTAACTGTTGATACAACTTCCTTTAAACTGAACTTTATCTTCACACCCTAACTTTATCGACTCTTAGGCAGAATACAGGTTGAATATACTACAAATACAAATCTGAAATGCAAGTTTAGCTGCACAATAGTCAGTTTTAATCTTATCCTTATGTGAAGTACAAACTACCACCTAAACAGAGGTGATTTACAGGAGCTTGCTCAAAGCAGATAGCTCTGAATCATATCCTAGAAAACATGCCAGTGAGACCATAGAAAATTCAGGAAGAGAGAAATCCAAGAAAAATGGAGAGCAAGAATACACACTAGAAGCAGGCAAGCTGCCCTGTGTGATGAGAAAACAAGCCCTCCTAATCAGTTCCAGAAACAGTGGAAAACACTTTTCCATTTTAAAAACTATGTGCAATGGAAAAGGAAGTGATCCAAATGCCAGGATATCTACAGGATTCCAGGGACAAGAAGAACTCAGAAAACACCATTGAGAAAAAAAATAATAATAATCAAGAGTCACAATTTCACATAAGGAGGAATTTCTGAACTGCACAGGAAGTTGTAGAGGAGATTTTTCTAAAAATCCCAAATCCAGCCCAGATTTGGCTCCTGGACAAGTCACACTTGCAGGTAGGTTAAGGTTATCCAGCCTCCTAAAAGGATCTGAACAAAAACTTCATCCAGAAAATGCCATGCAGCAGTTGGACAGCCCAGCACCTGCCTGGCCTCACCACAGGCAAGAGCCCCATCTGCTGGGAAACCACAGCCAGCCAGAGATAAACTCACCGGTGCTTGGATGGCCTCAAGACAGACAGGTTTGCTTTGGCAAACATTTTACAAATAAACTCTGAAATTTGGCTTTGCAGTATATCCTCAGACTTGCATAAGCAAGATTTTGTAGATACTGGTGAATCACTAATTTCCTACAAACAATAGGCAGAACTAATATTTTAAAGATTTGTTTCATTCATATTTTCTTTCTAAAAGCAACAGGCCAGACCTCAATAACAGCACAGAGCAGGCATCCCAGTTGCAGCCAAAACCAATTCTCCTTGGGAACCTTAAATTAAGAGCATGTCCTACAATTATCTTGGCAAACACAACTTCCTCGTAACCCCAAGGATACAAACTATTTGTAGAATTTGAGCACATTTTTCAGCACATATCACTACCTGTCTCAGTAACAGGAAAGCTTCCTTTGCATGTGAGAAGAGGGAACTGACTATTTGTAGGCTGTGCTAAAACTAAACCCCAACTACAATGGTCACATATGTCTTCTATAAACACATGAAAAATCCTGTCCTATGGAGAACAAACCAAGTGCCAAATCATTGGTAAGAAAGATGATGCTACTGAGGCAATACAGTTACCAACAGTCAATTTTAAAATAAAATTTGTGGTGCAAGACTCAGCCTAGGAGGTTTTATCCTTAAGAATGAAAGATTCAGGTCATGAGGAGCCATACATGCATCCTGAGACTCCATGTGCTTGATGTTCCCTGTTGATACCTCTACAAACCTCTCCACACATACTTAGAAAACTTAAATCTTTAAACAAAAGACAAACATACAAATCTGTTCTGTACGTGAACGTATAAGGAAGATGTCCTTCACCTTATGCTGTTTGAAAGAAACACATCTGGCTTCCTCCCCAGGTCAAGAGAGTTTTTAGCATGACAAAAATTAAGATAATCTCATTACAATCCTGCTTTCTTCCTATTATGCTGTGTTCCATCCTTACATCCCCCAGCTTGTACTGACAGTGGAGGGTGCCACGACCCAGGTGCGAGACCATGTGCTTGGATTTGCTAAACCTCATGAGGTCCACCTGGGCCCAATGCTCAGTCTGCCTAGGTCTTTCTAGATTGCATCTAGGCCTTAATGAAGTCCAGACAGATAACAGCAGTGGCTCTTCCCTCATTCACTGATGCACTTATATCACCATAAAAAACAACAAGGTTGATCAGGCAAGATCTGCATGCTAGTTATCCCATATTACCTCTCCTTCTCTTGTATGTCCCTTACCATAGCTTCCAGGAGGATCTGCTGCATGACCTTCTCAGCACAGAGGTGAGGCTGACAGGTCAGTAGTTCCCTGAGTCATTCTTTCTACCCTTTTTAAAAATGGGTGTGACATGCCTTTTTCCAGTCACCTCAGAACTTCACCTGACTGTCACAACTTTTCAAATATCTTTGAGAGTGGCTTGGCAACTATGCCAGCCAATTACCTCAGGACTCTTGGATGCATCTGGAATAAATCACAATAACTTTATGCTGTTAGCAGAGCCCAAAAGAAAATGATGGAGAGAAGTGAAAAGTCTCTTGGAAGTCTTTTGACTCTTGCACATCCTCAGGAGTCCAGAGTCTTGCAAGAGAAAAAAAAATCAGTCAGAAATGAGTTTCATTAAGTTGTCACTGTTACAATTAATGCTTAAGTTCTGCTTCTTTAAAAGCTCACCTCCTTTTATAGCCTCTTGCCTTATACTTTACAAGTTTTCAAAAAGGAGAGGAAATAATTTAAAAAAAAAATCAGAAAAATATAGTTTTAATGTTTCAAAAATAGGCATTCAGCAGAACCAGAAAGTAGCTTTAGCCTAACTGAAAAACAAACTCAGCTTCTTGACAACCTCTCTTTGAAAGTAAATTCTGGCATTCCTCCAAAGAGATTCCCGTTTGCAGTTGGTGTCCCAGTGCCTTTTTCAAATTGCACATCTGCTTACTGCCTGCCAAAGGCAATACAGACAGACCACCTCTACCAACTCTTCCAATTCACCCTTAATGATATGACTTAGGAGCTTGCAATAGGTCAGATGTGTCACAGTCTTGATTATTGTTTTTTCCCCTTTTGCAAGAAAAGCACTTTGACAAGAAATTGAGCTGAGCATTTGAAAGCAAGTCAATCAGATCACTTGCAGATGTTTAGGACCAACTACTCGCATCAAGGCCCTTAACCCTCCTAGGATTTCTCCCAGTCTTTCAGTCTGTCCGCTAACCACCAGAGAACCTACGTCATTTAATTAGCTCCATGGCATGGCTATATAAAATGGAAAACAAAATCAAAACAAAGAATGCACTCAAGCTATTCCAAGACACTGATTGTTAGTGCCAGTTCCAAAGCAACTTACAGATAGTACTTACATGGAACAATTTCTCCGTCTTTGGGAATACAGCTATGATGTCATACAATCTTATATTTGTAGATGTAGATCTCTACAAAAGGAGGAAATGATTACTACCTTGACTTCTGGCAGGCAACAAATGTATATACAAAGATTATAACCAAAATAATAATAAGAAAATCCCCTCACCATTTTCAAGCACTAAAACAAAGCCAATAATCTAATTAAATAGTAGGTCTCTACTGTGAGCAATTCTCTGAAGTCATTTTGAAGCCTTTCCCATCCACTTACACATATCTTTTGTCTCAAGCACAGCCCCACAAATAGACACAGGGCTCACTCCTGGTATTCTAGTGTTCATACAGAAGTCCAGAATTCAAATAAAAGAATAAAGGAACAGAACTATTACCCCATACTAACAAGTGATCAGCACAATCACATCCAGTTTCATAAACCCACATCCCCTCATGATGCTTCAGATTCTAAAGATCTGATCTGAGGAATCAGTACTGAGTATCCTATGAAATCCATTAAATCCTTCCCTACACGATTCCCAAAGTGACATCCTTTCATTGAGAAAAGGAAATTTAAAAAAAAAAAAAAAAAAGAAAAACAGATACACTGAAGGTACTTACCAAGAGATTACAGTGGGAAGGATCAGAAACAACAAGTGTCAGCCGGGTTAAGACTTTAAGTCTTTTAGATGTCCCCTATGATGGAAAAATAATACAAGATTTAAAAAGCTACAAAGCAAAACTTTGTGGCAACCTTCACCCTCTCTACTACAAAAAGAAAGTTGTGCCTTGCACCAATTCTTGCCTATAATAATTTTCTGGAAGTCTGTAGGTATTTTTCCCTAATATACAAAAAACACACATTCTTTATATTGATCTTTTGGGTATTGTATCTGTCCTTCAGAAAGAAAGGCTCACTGTGTATCTCTGAGGAATGGATCAATTGAAAGGAGAAAAATTGAAAGGAGGAAGAAAGAAAAAAAACAAAACACCATATGGAACATACGAGCATGCTTTATTAATACCACTCTGGTTTTCCAAGGAGGCCACGACTGCAAGCAAAAGCATTTCCTTAATTAACATACATCAGAGTTGGTTCACTACATCCAAATCTTGTTCATCAAATCCAGGAAGTAATTTCCAAACTTCAGGCTCAAGTTCAGAGAATTACACTGCAATTATTCAACTACAAGATTATTCAGAATTCATGAACAGCAATTATAAAGAATAATTTCTGTAATAAAGAACAGAGCCTCCTCCAACATGAGTGTTAACATTCTTCCAATGTTGGGAGTTTTAAGAAACAAGCAGTGGACAAATTTCTCATTTTTTAACGGGCGATGAAAAAAATATCATGTGTAAACACGCAAAGGAAAAAATGCAGCTCAGTAAAACAACTGGAACCCAATAAACACACCTGTACAATAGGCAAAGACGGAAACAGCTCCGATGGAGATACCGGCTTGGCTATTTCCTTAAAAAATAAACAAAAAAAAAGTTATCCAAAATATAATGGGATGTTTAGAATGTACACAGAAGTTGTGTTCCAACTCCAAAACTAAGTTTGCCATGCTAACAAAAGTATTTCCTAGGGACAATTCACAGACCTTAGTAAAAATTAACTCCAGGGCAGTAATACAGACTTATAAAAATCGGAGTTCTGTTATAAATAAAAATACAAATACACTTCATTTAAGTGAGTATGTAAAAACAAAGGGAGGAGGAGCAGCACACAGATTTATGAGAGCAAACGCATCACCAACAAAGAAGCTGAACTGAAATTACCTGTTTCTTTTCTTTAAAATCGATGATGTGATTAAGAGCGACTGCAGAATATCCCACTAAAGAAGTGAACACATTGTGAGCCTGCTTTGTTCAGCAAGTAATGGAAAGAGACAAGCAGAAAAATGTCACACGCTCATTATTTAAATATCTCAAAATTAATAACGATGTGCACATTTACCTTTCACGGTGAACTTTTCTGAACGGTAACTCACCAAAGATGTGTCTTAAGAGCACAAATTTCTTTTAACACAACCCAGCCTCGACAACGCGTCCTCACTGACTGACAGCGACGGGGGCAGGGACCGCACGGCCAGCGCTAGGGCACACACGGGGATGCACAGCTCCCAACGGGAGCAGCTGGGCAGGCTGAGGTGTGCTTGGGAGCCTGGTGGGCAGTGCGGTAAGCCAAAGGCTGCCAGGTCCCGGCTCTGCATCGATAATAAAGCTGAGCCTTGCAAGAGCAGCAGATTGGAAGGTGCTTTACGAGGGGAGACGTGACCACGTCCTGTCCGCGGTGGACAGCACTAGAGGAAGCCGTGAAACCTGTGCTGAAGACCAGCAACCCTGGAAGAGGATCTCTCCGCAGAGACTGTAGAGTAACCGAGATGTTAAAAGCGCTGTTCAGACACGGCACGGCACGGCACATACCCCGCGCCCTACGAGGGGCAGAGCAGGACCGGCGCACGCCCCGTCCAACCCCGCTTCTCCAGCCTTCACGCCGCTGCCGCAGACCTCAGCCAGCGCCGTCCCCCAGCACAGCACAGCCCCACCACTCCGGCCTCAACAACACAACCACCCGCTCCCAGCCCGGCTCCCGCCCCGACTCACGGTGCGCCGCGGCCTCCAGCAGGCTCTGCACGGCCTTCCTGTCCGCGCCGTGCGGCACGTTCAGATCAGCGAAGCCGGCCATGCTGCGCGGCGCAGGGCGGAATCAGGGATGTGGGCGCGGCCGGCACCGCCCCCGGCGGCCCGGAGCAACATGGGGCTCGTAGTTCTGCTGAGGGGAGCAGGATAGGCGCCGGCCCGGCAGGCGGGGCTCTGGGTGAGGGGGGTGTGAGCTTTCCGGAGCGCCTGAACGTGTCCGTGAACGCTGCGCTGCGAGCGGAGCAGGCGGGCGCTCGGGGTGCGCGTGCTGCCCAGCAGGGGGAGCCGCGCTTCTGCTCCTCCAGCGGCCGGATCGCCTCCTGCCGAGCGCTGCTCCTGCGTGCCGGGAGAGGAACCGTTCCTAGTTAAGGCCGTAATTTTCCTGCGTTAACTAAAAAATGTGGAATAAAGTCCTAGGCTGATGCGTCCCTAGATTCCCGAGAGATATTCCCTAAAATGCAGAAGCGCTGAACAGTTCCAGTAGACTGCAACTCACATACACTTTGACTTCGTAGCGCTGTTGCAAAACTCACTCATCTCGTGTTATTGCTGCTAATCAGTACGGCACGTGTGAAATACGGGTGGTAATGACCGCCTTTTGTTGTTGTTTGGGACAGGCCAAAGAGTTTATAAGCTCCCTTTAATCATTGGAAGGCTGCAATGAGATCTCCTTGAAGCCTTCTCTTCTCCAGACTGAACGAGCCTACCTCCAGAGAAGTGCTCCAGCTCTCTGAGCGCCTTCATGGCCATCCTTCTGACCCACTCCAACAGCTCCACATCACTCCTGTGCTGGGGGCCCAGGCTTGGACACAGGGCTCCATATGGGGCCTCACAAGGGCAGGGCAGAGGGGAACAGTCACCTCCCTCTCCCTGCTGCCACCCCTCTTTTGATGCAGCCCAGGATAGAGTTGGACTATGGGCTGCAAGAGCACACTGCTCATATCCAACTTTTTGTCCATCAAGACTCCGAGTCTTCCTCTGCAAGGCTGCTCTCAGTGAGTTTATCTCCCAGTCTGAATGTCTGGGGTTGCCCCAGCTCAAATACAACACTTTGAATTTTGGCCATGTTGAACCTCATTAAGTTTTTGTGGGCCCATTTTTCAAGCCTGTCCAGGTCTCTCTGGAAGGTGTCCCTTCTATGTTTCAGCAAAGGAGTTCTGCTTTGGCCTACCTGTGCCCGTAACATGTTTCCCATTGGGACAGCCAGAGCTGCTTCTCTGCCATTTATCTGAAGACACAGCCCAAATGGTCTTCTCAAGGCTTTTCTGTTAAGTGTGTGAACATGAGAGAGCCCAAAGCATCATTTCGAGTCTTCTTTGACAGTGTATGATAGAAATTGATTTAATTTGTCTAAATAAATGCAAGAAGAAATCCATAAACATGTATCAATTATTTTTTGAATGGCCCTATTGGACTAATGTTCAGAGACATTAAACAAGATTAAGCAGCATTTGTGTCTGGCAACAGACAATCAAAACAAACCTTTCCTCGAGGCACTTAAAATGGAGAGCACTTAAACAGATCTTCATCAATCCTTCAGAACTCTATCTCTGTGATGGCCCTCCCAGCATCGCATACCATCAGTTACTTATGCACATCATTGTGCAACCTTATTTCCTCCATTAGCTACTTGGATGTTAACATTTTTGTTTAGAACAGCCCCAGTGAACTACTTAAAACATAGCTGTGATCCTCACTGTCAGTCACAAACTTCGAACATGCTTTGTTTCACCTGTATCCTGAAGTCCTCCTAAGGCAGCCAGTTTTTCTCCCCTCTGGCTATGTTTTTCACACCATATTTAAATTTTAGGGAAGAACTTCTCGAGTCTTATGAAGTGATATTCTTCTAATGTGCCTCCAGTGGGCATTCCAGGGTAGCAGCTGTCATATAAATATATGTATATATATATGTTTCTTTGGCTTTAGTTCTGCATTTAGCATTTTAGGGGAGCTGAAGATATTTGGCATCACTTATCTCAGCAACTCAGTAGCTTGAATCTCAGAGTCACTTTATTCATAACCTTCACAGTTTTCTTCATAAAGCTGCAGGCTGAAGTTTCAGGGATGAGAACTGTTTTTCAGAGTGATCAAGAATTTCTAGAATAAATTTCATTGCAATTGTTTTTCTTCTTTTCAGCTGGCAGCTTGCTGCTCAATTTGCTGGTTCCAAAAAAGGAAGACATCACTTCACATTTATTTTGCTCGCACAGGTGCGAGTATTTATTTTGACAATGATAAGAAAAGCCAAAGATGTGAATGGTTACCTCTCTATTTCACTGCCACAGAGTGGGGATGATTTATTTTCACAAAGGCAAGAAAAGACAGAAAAGAAACTGCAGCTGCAACATCTTTGCTAGAAGTTGGACAAGAGCGTTATTTGTTAACTACATGCTGGGAATAAAAATCAAGGTTCCAATAATATTTGTCCATGGAATTTTACCCAGCCTGTGATAAAATATTCTAAATATTTTGACAATGTATTTCCCCAAGGTAGAAGAAATGTGTACCTATACTTTATTTATTATTCCCAACAGCAGGTCTTCACCAGACCTATATTGGTTTCCAGGAAAAGAAGATGAAAAGGAAAGAAAAAAATATACAACAGGCAAATGAAAATGACAGTTTATGAAGACAGACTGGATCAGGCAAGGAAGGACAACAAGGGAGATGATAAAAAAAGAAGGGAAAATAGCAAGAAGAAAAACCCTCTTTATTACATTTCATACTCATGCTGTGGGATGAAAAGGATCCAGAATTAAATTGCTTAAGAAGGAAAATGTAGCAACACCTTTAAGATTTTATGTTAAGATGAGCACAGATCTTGTTTTCCAGATACAGTTTGTGTGGGGGAAAGAGTTACTAAGCTGGGCTGTCAGTGCTTTCTCCTCTGCTCGTGAAGTTCTGCATGCTGCAGTCCTGGACCCACTTCAGGCAGTGGGCCATGAGCTAGCAAGACTGCTGTTCCAATGGACTCTGTGAGCAGCACACCCTCAGAAGAGGGATGAAGCATCCCGAATATAGTGTGAGTTCTTTTGTCACAGGCACTTTCATAGAAACAGACTGGCCTCACCAAATCAACATGTGTTGGTGACATTTTATTTCCTTTATTTCCTCCAAACGTGTATCTTATCTTAACTTTTCAACACGGCAAATAATTGGTATAAATACCTACTGTTGTATTTTATGCTCTGTATGAGTCTTAAATTCTGGAGATGTTCTGTGGCTTTTTAATATATTTCCCTCCTCTGGTGGAGGAAAAAAATATATATTATTTTTGGAGGGAAAAGAAATTTTTTAAAAAAAGCTTTAAAAATCAAAGAAAAACTTCAAAGAAGAATCAAGAGCAATGTCAATAAGTGCATGAAAAATGGTGGATGAGAGCCCTACAACAGAGTTGGGAGTACACAGAAATATGAAGAGGATTTTATAGGTAAGCAGCCTAAAGTACTCAAAGGATAGTAAGCTAAGCTGTGACAAATGGATTTTTTTTTTTTTTTTTTTTTTTTGAAGCCTAATTTTAGTGAAGAGCTAATATCCTGAAAGGGGAGAGAGGTTTCACAAATGTCAGCTTGTTCATGACAGCAGTCAGCCAACCATAGGTTTAATTTCTGTATGTTGTTTGGTACAACAGTCAGAATTTTTATTTAGGATCACTGAAGACAAAAGCAGAATGTTGACTTGGAAGGATCAACTTCTAATGCTGTATGTGACTGATTTTAAATTCATGGAACAGATGTAGTCCCATGGAATGAGGAATGCTCTCTGCTGCCACAGGCACTGGGGATGGGAAAGCCTCTGAAGCACACAGGGAAAGCAGTTCACCAGAGTCAATCCTGGAAACTTGGATGGTTTTTCTAAGTGTGCCCCAGTGAAAAGATTTCAAGGAAAAGATTTTAGAGAGGCACCGCAGCTTCATCTTGCCAGTGTTTTGCCTTTTTCTGTGATAGTACATTACTTCCCTTTCTGTTATAGGATATAAATCTCTTTGACTTCAGTTGGCTCGTCTTTTCAAAGATAAGATTAAGAGAGTAAACACAAAGAATGACTGCATGTAACCTTTGAGAAGGAAAGAAATCAAGCAATTAACTTCTAATGTATTGTATGGGGACTTGATACAGAATAAAAGATGAGACTTTTACCCCCTTTTAGGTTGAGGTGGGTACGTATAACACGCAAATGATTGTGCGTATATTCCTCTGAGTAAACTTTCCAGAGTCATGTTCCAGAAGGAATCCATGAAGGGCTGTCAAAAGGAATGAGTGTTTAATGAATTGTGTCAACACATTTGCAGGAAGCCCCAGATTATAATTTGCTCTGTAAAGTGACATTTTAAGTAACTGAAAAATTGCCTTACAGCAAGTATTAAACTGCATGATGTTATCAGTCCCTATGATATGAATCTATTTTAAACAAAATTTTCCCAGTTCCGATCTCAGATACTATTTTAGAAAAATGTATTCTCACAATGAGGAAATAATCTCCTTTCTCCACACTGCCTTAACGCATTAACTTATTTTGATGTGTCTTTGCCATTACCAAAGATTCATTTTCCTCTTACTATTTGCTTAGCAGGGGAGGAAGGACAGAGGCTCTATCACCTGAAAGGTAAGTCATCTGCAGCTCTAGGTTCAGGAATATGCTGTGGGCAGTTAAACAGGGAAGGATTTTATTGCGAGCGGAGACAGTAAGGCAGCTAACACTGAAGTGCTGGAAAAGTCTGAACAGGAAAACACTTTTAGCTTTGTAATAGTCAAAGAGTTGCCCAGTAAGATCTCACAACTTGAAACTTGCTTATTTTATGATCCTACTCAAATCAAGATGTGGGGGCAGCAGGGAAAGCATGCATCTGAGCTGCCCAGTGCTGCTCACTGCTTGAGAGATACTCTGACCCTGGGGAGCTGCCTGCACTCACACTGTGCCACGGCAGCTTCTCCCCTCACCTGCCCCCCAGCCCTTGGTGGGGCTCACAGGAGTGGGGCCAACACACTGCCACACATGTTGAAAGACCTGTTCTGAGGTTAAGGCGATGCTGACAGAATGGAAGATTTCATTAAAACTGAGAATGAGAAGTTTGCTGTGGATCTGTGGTAGGAGTGTCAGATGAATTTTATCAGATAGCTGAGTAGTTACCAGGTCTTTCTTCAAAGCAGGATTT